AAAAAAAAAAAAAAATTAATGTATTTAGGATAATAAATTATTTTACTAAGCATCAAATGAAAAGCATACATATATAAACAAATGAAATATATAACAATACATTTTTATTATGTAAAATTATTAATATGAAGTATTATAGTAATACAATATCCATATAATAATTATTAAGTGTAAGAGTATATGTAATATGTAAAACAATACAAAATATATTATTCATATTGAAGCATTATATTAATAATGTATATTTGTAACATTTTGTACCATGCAAATAATTGTAACATATATATTCTGAAATATATTCAGTTAATATATGAAATATTAGTATAATATTTATGATAATTAATGAAATATAGGGACACTGCTAATAAGTGTTTATTTTATTCAGTTAAATTGATATTAAATGCAGTTAGTTGAAGTTATATATAACTTCAACTAACTGCATTTAATATCAATTTAAACTATGATTCTAAATTCTAAATGCAAATGTGAAAATGAAAACATTACATTCAGTTTGCCCTGAAATATATTTCCATAATAATTACTGTTTTAAAAGTCTGCTAAAGTGCACCTCTTTTTCAGCAGGGATATCCAAGTAAGCATGGGTACCTGTAGCTGCTTGAGTGTAGATCGATCCCAGGATCGAGCCCTGATGCACTCCGTACAGCGTAATTATATAGGACGTGTCGGGACTGAGCCCAGACATCCATAAACTACGTGCATCACCAGATACCGAAAGGTCCTGTCTTTCTGGACCTGCTGCATTTGCCACTTCAATCACAAAACTGTCAAAGGCAGAGTCATCCTCAATGGTCCAGGACACATTGAAGCTATCCCAAGACACATCAGACACACTCAGACTGCCAATCTGCGGCCTCTGCTCCTCTGACGGACAAAGAAATCAGACATGAGTTATTGTCACTGAAATTAATTACATTTGCATAATGAAATGAGCTGAACTTGCCAGTGCCACTGGCGTAACGTAGTGACAGATAAAACAGTTAATAGATGGAATGAAATGATATGGTTAAAGACATGAGGCACAGAGAGACGGTGTTCATTCATGTTGAGAAATAATCATCCAGAATGATCAGATAAAACATTATATTAATTGTATCATGCTATAATCCCAAGGGGAGGCTTCTCATGAAAAGTACAGAAACAATTCTGCAAGTGTTTTGCGGCACTAGAGGTACTGAGATCACATCTCGGGGAGTAACTAAAATGTTAAGTGAATATGGGTTTGATTGGAGAAAGTGCATTTTGAACAATATTTGATGTTTAATATACACTATAGTTCAAAAGTTTGGGGTCGGTAAGATTTTTAAAATGTTTTAAAATGAGTCTTTTCTGCTCATCAAGGATGCATTTATTTGATCAAAAATACAGTAAAAGCAGTAATACTATGCAATATTATAATTTGAAATAACTTTTCTATTGTAATATATTTTAAAATGTCATTTATTCCTGTGATGCAAAGCTGAATTTTCAGCATCATTACTCCAGTCTTTAGTGTCACATGATCCTTCACAAATCATTCTAATATGCTGCTCAAGAAACATTTCTGATAATTATCAATGTTGAAAACAGTTGGGACGCTTAAAATTTTTGGAAACCGTGATACTTATTTTCAGAATTCTTTGATAAATTTAAATATCAAAAGAACAGAATTTATTTGGAATAGAAATCTTTTGTAACATTATAAATGTCTTTACTTTCACTTTTTAGGGTTATTATAGTTAACTAAAACTAAAACCATAAAAAAAAAATCATTTCAGTATTTAAAAAAATAAAATAAAAAAATATTTAAAAAATTTAATTATTCCATTTTCATTATTTAAAAAATAACAACATTAACTAAGATACAATATTTTTATAAAAACATTTATCACTTTTGTTCAGTTTAAGTTGAAGTACTAAATAACTGAGTAAATTAACTAAAATAACTAAATGAACTAAAACTAAAAACTGAAACTATATATATATATATATACAAAAACAAAACTTAAAATTAAAACAAAATATACAAGTAAAATCTAAATTCAAAATGATAATCACAAAACTATTAAGAGTATATCAATGTATATAACTATAACAGTATATCAAAGTATATAAAAAAATAACACTTATTTAATGTGTCCCAGTTGAATGAAAGCATTAAAAAATTTACAAATATTACTGACCCAAAAATTTTTAATGCTAGACAATTATCAACAGTGTTTCAGTTCTACTGGACTGCTTTCATTATAGTCATGGTAGTCCACATAAACCAAAGGCCACAGCCATTTTTCAAGCAAACTAGGTGTGGTTTCTTGGTGTGGACCCAAAAGTCATTTAAACTAACCAAATAAACCGAACTGTGACGTCAAAAGGACTTGGGTTTGTAGTGTAAAAACACTATTTTTCCACCAACCGTCTTACGCCTGCAGAACTGCTCCCAAGGGATAGCTTTTACTTTTTAAGAATGACTTTGAATGAATGAATGAGTGGATGACGGATGACTGTGGTTTCTGAAGCTCATGTCCATGTACCTGTCTTGATGTGAACATTGACTGGTTGGGATTTCTCGCCCTCCTTCATCCCACACAATGTAATCTCATAAAGCGTGTCAGGGTTCAATCCATCTACATGGACCTGCCTGGCTTCTCCAGACACTTCAATAACACTGTCTTTGGACTTATTTGATGTTGAGTTCAACTCAACGATGAAGCTATCGAAGACTCCATCAGGAGCTGACCAAGACAGCCTCAAACTATTCCTGCTCACATCGGTGACGTTTAGGTCACCCGGAGGCCCTTGATTCGGGTCCTCGAGTTCATCACCTGAGGCTTCAGCTTTAAAATCCTCTGTTAAAAGAGTGGAGGTAGAGACTGATGGCTGAACCTCCTTATGGAGGCTTGGTAGCGTTGTTGAAACACTTGTGAAGGTCAAAGCAACAACATCAGGAGAGGTAGACTTTGGTGCTATAGAGGAAAGTATTCAGTGTGTTTAAGGTCAGAGATTAAAGACAAGACAAAATTAGCAGAGATTTACCTGTAAAAACAAGAAGTTAAATAATCATTAACTAACTGCACAAAAAAAAAAAAATTAATCTCCTGTTTATCCTGGGAGGTGGTTTTCTGATTTGCATGATAAATAACTGCAAATTAATTTCTTTTGAAATATCAAAAGTACATTTTATAATTGCTTTTAAATAGTGTGATGGTTAATCATACTCTAACTGTAGTGCCATGAGGGGCGAATTCACTAAACACCACTTTAACATGAGTATTTCCTCATGTCTGTCAGGGTTATTACTAAAACCAAAACTAAAACCATAAAAATAAATACATAAATAAATAAATATGTTACTTGAAATAAAATAAATGTAAAAAATATATATATGTATAAACTAAAATGTATATACATACACGCGCGCACACACACACACACACACACACACACACACATTATAAATTAAAAATGAAAAGATCCTATATAGACAAAAAAACATAACTAATAAAAATGACAAACACACACAACAAATTACAATAACTTTGACGAAAATTAAAATGAAAACGTAACATACAAAAATAAATACTAATTTAAAATATAAAATAAAAACTAGGCTAATATTATCTCACTGATATTAAAATAACACTGGCATTTGTCATATTGTACGCCAAAATTCAAAGAGAGAAAAAAACAAAAAGAAAATTATACGAAATATACGAAATGCATAGCAATAGCACTGTGAAGTGAGTATTTAAAGAAACATTTCTTAGTGAATTCGCCCCTCAGTTTCTCAATGTAAGCTGAGGTTTGAGTTACACTGCATGCAATATATCTCATTTCACATGCAAATGATGTTACCGCTTATTTCAGTCTACATGCATGTATCTGAAAACATCTGACATTAATGACCATGAGCCATTAATTGCTGAAGTTTCCAAGTAGTCCACTAGAGTGGAAGTACATGGGATGCTTCAGGCTGATGGATAATCCAGACTTCAAGATGTTTTGAGAAAAGGACATGCATGAAGTCGATTTTGAGAGTTTTAGCAAGTCACAAACAATATTCAGTGCTTATCAGCCTTTCATGCATTTTTTACCACACAGTTTAGTTTGTTATGAGGATTAATAATTTTAACCACTGCAAAAACTTGTGGATTGTGGATCTCCTTGTCTGAGCCAATGAGCAGCTATATGCACTAGACTGGGTGATATGCTAAATATTCACAATATATTCACATTAATTAAGTAAAAATATAAAATACTGGAAAAAAAGAAGCAAAAAAATATATAAAATATCTCAATAGCAAAAACAGCCTTAAAGTTCAATGCCTGAACCAATATGACTTATGGAAGTCAAGAAGCCTCTGCATGGCATTTTTATATAGTAGGCTATATGTATGTAATTTTTAGGCATTAAAATGTTTGGTTAAAAGTTAAACATTTATTTAAATATTGTAGTAAATATTACTTAAAATAATCAATCAATCAATCAATCAATCAATCAATCAATATTTGTCTCAGGGAAGTCATGGAAGTTCCTGCATGACATTTTTATGTATTTATGTAAAAAAAAAATATATATTTTAATAAATAAATATGATTTAAAATATTGCTGTTTACTTCTATGCACTGGTACATTTGGAAATGTTAAATGCCATTCTTCCTTGTATTCATTTATTAAAAAGAAATGAATAAACAATATTTCGTGCATGAAACAAATTGAATTTGTTTATTTGAATTTTTAACAATGATTGTTAAAATGATGGCTCCTCTTATTGAAAAACAAAACAAAACAAATAGTTAAAATTAAATATTGTATACCGTTAAAAAGTTCAATTTTTTTGTTGTTGTATCACCCAGCCCAAATACACATCCATATCCTGATGCATCATCATGCACGTCTTTGTGCTCTACCATATGACAAATGGGAGCAGTTGCATATTGTATGTCATGCAAAACTTGTGTCATTCCATTCTTAAACCTATGAGTTTCACAAAAAAACATTTTACAGTACATATCTTAAAGTTGCAATGGCTCTAAATCAAACAGATGACGTGAAACCCAAAAGAAAGTTTATACCTGTAACTGCAACTGCTTCTAGTAGTGAAGATCTTTGGTTATTGGATATTCCATATAGCCTTACTTGGTACTCAGTGGAAGCCTTTAGGCCACGGATTTTAGTGTCATTCACCTCCCCATGGAGATGAACCTCCTCCTTCCATTTCCCTGAGAAATCTTTAAGTTCTACAGTGTAACTATCATAGCCAATGTGTTTATTTGACTCCCACGCAAGATCAAATCCTTCGGATGTGACATTAGACACAGTCAAGGTGCCAGTGGGATCCTTGTATCCGCTCCCAGAGAATGGGATCTCTGAGTTGTCGAGAGACACAAAGCTAATGACATTGTCATCGGTGCCTTTGGCTGAACCGAGCTCAGGAAATGTGTTCGCTAGATAAAAAGTGAAAGATGCTACAAGAAAAAGACAAAAACATATGACACTTGGGAAACGACATGATAGCACGTGCAAATCCCTTCATTCAAGACCAATTATGATCGAATAGCATCTTCTAGATGGTTTGCTTGGTTTATCAGCAAAAAGCCTCACACTGTTCCCTTACCAGGTGCAACAGATTAAGTTTCCTGAAACTGAAAATCCACACAATTACAGCTAATTGGGACATACTTGATGTTTAACATACATACTTTTGACCAATGAGATTGCATTGTGGGTGGGGCTTTCCAGAAACTCAGATTTACATAAAAGAGCTTCCGTCCTTTATGGTGTTGCAGCTGGTTTGGACACAGTGTCATAAATTAAGACCAGAAACATACTTTACTCAAGTGCACAAACGCAGATGTGAATACTTGGCCAATGCACTACAAGTATGCAGATCTGTTGAACCTACTAATAGTTCACCCAAAAATAAACATTTGCTGAAAATGTACTCACCATCAGGCCTGCACATGTTAAAGCATGTTAAATGACAATGTCCTCACCCTCAGGCCATCCAGGATGTAGATGAGTTTGTTTGTTCATCGGAACAGATCTGGTGTAATTTATCATTGCATCACTTGCTCACCAATGGATGCTCTGCAGTGAATGGGTGCCGTCAGAATGAGAGTCCAAACAACTGATAAAAACATCACAATAATCCACAAGTAATCCAGTCCATCAGTTAACATCTTGTGAAGTGAAAAGCTACATGTTTGTAAGAAAATATCCATCAAGGCATTTTTAACTTCAAATGTCACCTCTGGCCAAAATGTACATAATCCATAATGATGCTTCCTCCAGTGAAAAAGTGCATCCCCGGTTTTCCTCTCACATCAAAATCCACCGACCTATTTGTTTAGAAATATCTTGGACTGTTTCCACTTGTAAATGGTGCTCGATCTGTGCATATTTGTCTCCTGGTTCAAATGAGATGCCCTTTTCACTGGAGAAACCAATATTATGGATAGATGTGGATTATTGTGATGTTTTTATCAGCTGTTTGGACTCTCATTCTGACGGCACCCATTCACTGCAGAGCATCCATTGGTGAGTGATGTAATGCTACTCCAAATCTGTTCTGATGAAGAAACAAACTCATCCACATCCTGGATGGCCTGAGGGTGAGGAGTTTTTTCATTTAACATGCTTTAACGTGCTTATGCATTGCACTGGCGATGACAATACAGTTTCCTTATATTTTATACTTTTATCCAACTTATTTTTAAATGCTATAAGCAATTTCCTGTGAATGCACTGGTTTTTGTCCAGCTAAAATAAGTGGCTGAAACACAAAAAACCTTGCACTCTTACAGTACATTAAAAATAAGATGTACTGTATAAACATGCCGATTTCAGACAATTTGCTCACCAAGTAGAGAAAACAAATGAAAACATTTTTTGCAATATGCAATTCATTCATGTTGAGAATGCAACACACACATGCATCGCAGTGCAGAACGAACTGCATTCTGACAGATTTTGGAGCATAAAGCCATACAAATCAAACGCAAATAGAAGTGTTTGTATTCACGTTCTTGCATAGAGTATGTTTCAGGTCTTAAACTGATGATTTTAAATAGATATTTAGGGAAAAAATGCATATAAGAGTTAGTTATGATCAATTTCACAACACAATCTTTGTTGTCCACACCTGAAAACAGAACATTGACATTATCATGTTGGACAAAAGCAAACAAAATCAGCTTTACACTAGGAATCGCTCACCTGTGGAGGCGGTGACGGTGGCAGGAGCACTTCTCCTCCGCCCACGTTCTGCCACGAGGGTGACGGTGTAGCGCATGCCAGGGCTCAAGCCGCTCAGGGTGTAGGCGGTTGCAGTAGCAGGCAGCTCGACTTCTTCCCGACGGCCGTCGGCAGAGACAAACGCTAGCCTGTAGGTGGAGATCTTGGCCCTGGGCCTCTTCCAGACCAGTTCCAGGGTGGTTTCGGTGGAGTCTCGCACTTCCAGGTCGCGTGGCGGATCCAGATCTGTGTGGGTGGAGGTTCAAAATGACAGCACAAAAGCCACATTCATGCCAGGAAACTGTGATGGCGTCGGCATTCAAGAGAACGGTATATATTTTGTCAAGCTCCAAAAAAAAAAAAAAAAAAGTTTTAACAGTCATACTGGTTTAGAAAGTCATATCTGGGTAAATTATCTCCTTCAAAATACAGTTATATTCATGTTATTGTTCTTACTTTAACTTTTAGTAGGCATCTTCATAAGAAAAAAACAGCATGAACTTATATAAAGAGTGATGCACACCACCATTTTTGAAAGATGATTATTATGGACTGAAAATAAAATAAAAATAAATTATTAAATTATCATTCAGTCATTTTGATTAAGTCAAAATCTAAATCTAAAATCTAAATCTGTATCTAAATTGTTTTGCAGTGTGTTCACCTAGGATGCATTTATTTGATCAAACATATAGTGAAATATTATTACTAATATGTATTTATTTAATAATAATTTAATACATTTTAAAATGTAATTTATTCCTGTGATCAAAGCTGAATTTTCAGCATCATTACTCCAGTCTTCAGTGTCACATGATCCTTCAGAAATCATTCTAATATGCTGAATTGTTTCTCAAGAAACATTTATGATTATTATCAATACTAAAAATAATTGTATGTACAGAAAATTCAAAGGAACAACATTTATTTGAAATAGAAGTCTTTGGTAATATTATACCTTTGGTAATATAAATGCATTTACTGTCATTTTTGATCAATTTAATGCATCCCATAACGTCTTTAAAACAACAACAACAAAAGAAACACAGTGATCCCAAACTTTGACACAGTTAGCGTCTGTAGCTGATAAAAAGAGAGTTGATCTCACCGGTCAGTGCGTTGGTGGTCACTGGCTCACTCTCTCTTTCGTTCTGAACGGCTGTGACTCCAATGCCGTACTCCGTTCCAGGCTTCAGGCCTACGGCACACAAAATCCGTTAATCCAGCAGATGAAACACTAAACTGATGCATTTTCAAGCAGGGAACGAGGGGAACATTTCTGTATTACATCTCTATGTGAATATTTTCACGTCTTATGTGAGTTTCTTTTAATAGAATGTAAATCAGAGGATTTTTTGTTTAAGTAGTTGCACGCATTACAAGCACATCTGCAAACAAAGTGCACCTTCTTAAAGAAATGTCCTGGATATAAATATAGATTTTTTTAGAAAACAAGACTTAATAGCTCAAGTAATTTTACTTCCAAAATAAATGCATCTTGCATAAATGCATAAATGCAAGATATTTGTACTTGAAAACAAGACAGAAATACTGAGGAAGAAGTCATTTTTTGCACTGCAACTAGCAAATAAAGTACAATTCTTAACCTTTTTTTTGTCTTGGTTTTACCTGTAATCGTGGCCCATGTCGTATCTCCAGCTCTTCTAGGGAACATGTCTTCACCATGGGCACCTCCTGCGATCGGGCCGTATTTGATACGGTATCCGTCGATGGATGAGCGGCTGTTTTTCCATTCCAGTGTGATGCTGCTGTCAGTCTGATCAACAGCTTTGAGGTCAGTGGGGGCATCCAGACCTGAGACACACAGAAAACCATCACAGCATCCTTAAAACACTGCTTTGAGTTCATCTTTGTGAGAAACTCTCAGCAAACTATATATATTTAGTCTGTAAGCTTTCATACCTGTGGTGAAACTCTCAAAGATGGGCTCGCTGGTCACATCTCCCCTCTTTGAACTGAGAGACACTCTGTATTCAGTGTCTGGTTTCAGGTCTTCTAGGCTGTACTGCGTGTGTGTGGCCGGGAGGTCGACATCTCGATGGACTAACGGGTCTGTGCTCGGCCCGTACGATACCCTGAACCCGTCCACCTCAGCCAGGGGTCTGGACCAGGAGATCACTGCAGACCGGTCTGTCACATCGCCAACGTCAAGCTGCCCTGGAGAATCGATTCCTGCAGCAAGAGGAGTGATGTATGGTTAAACTGATAATTATATTCAGTTAAAATAGTGGGTAACACTTTATTTTAAGGTGTCCTTGTTACACGTTACAAGTAACCCTAATCCTAACCATATAGTAAGTACATGCAGTTAATGAATATTACTCAGTACTTAAATGCATAATTACACTGTAACAAGGACACCTTAAAATAAAGTGTATACATGGCACAGTATTCATTTGGGTCATAGGAAGATGTATAATTGATTCTGCTGTGACTGCAAGGTCAAAATAGCTTGTTTTTTTTTAATCAAATGTTGCTCATCAGTTTGTCAGTGTTAAGCTATTATTGTATGAGCTTTCTATTCTTGTTTTTTTCCCCATGTAAAATAGAGTACTCAGTGGGTGCAATAGAACTACATGCAAAAGCAATGGCAAAAAAACTGTATGGAATCAATCTAATCATCCCTCTGTGTTAATGTCATTAGACAACATGAGCTCAGGCTGATGCAAAAATGAGTTTCCACACTGCAAATACTACTTTCTTTTCCTTAAGCAAAGCAAGTTAAGTTGCAAACTGAAACTGCACCTGAACACAAGCCAACTGTAATATATTTACTGTCTGTGAAAGCTTCTAGGACTAAAATCAGATAGTTGAACCTAATGCAATATTGCAAGGAAGAAAAAGAGCAAATTGGACCTATAAGTATATTAAAAAAATATATATTAACATATATTCAATTATATATATATATATATATATATATACAGTATATATAGTAATTGTAGTATTATCAATGTTGAAAATGTTTTTTGCTGCTTAATAATTTTGTGGAAACTATAATACACTACCATTCAAATGTTTGGAGAAAAAATAATTCATACTTTTATTCAGCAAGGATACATTAAACTGATTAAAAGTGACAGTAAAGACATTTATAATGTAGCAAAAGATTTCTATTTCCAATAAATGCTGTTTCTTCTAACTTTTTGTATTCATCAAAGAATCCTGAAAAAAAATGCATCATGTTTTTTACAAAAATATTAAGCACTGATATTAAGACTGATATTAAACAGTGATTAAGAACTGTTTTTCAACATTGATAATAATATGAACCAATATTAATAATGGAGCACCAATAATCATCCTTAAAAATACCTAATATGAAGATTGTTTGGTCTTGTTTTATGCAAATCAGGGCTCTAGACTTATTCTTTCCACTGGTCGCTCTTTTGCGACTAACTTTCCCAGTTAGTCACAGAAGAACATCATTTGGTCGCATTTTTCTTTTTTTTGCTACAACATGGGATTAATCAATGCATGCTGATGAACTTTTATCATAGTTTATAGTTATATGGTAACGAGTGTTCAACATTCAACCCGTTCTTTTTCATCAGTATTATTTGTGATTTAAATTTTGTGAACGGGAATTACTCTTTTGCTGTGCACTGTAAAAAATGACTGTGAATTTAACGGTAAAAGACTGTAAAAATGCTACAGTAAAAACCTGTTAAATGGTTAATGGTAAATTCACCTACTATATACGGTGAAAAACTGTATTAAACATTACATGTATTGGAAAAACGTTGCTACCGTATTTTTTACGGTAAAATTCCGGCAACCACAGCTGCCGGTTTTTACCGTAAATTTAAAAAAAATATATATTTTTTTTACAGTGTTATAAGCTGGACTTTGGACGCTTTCACTTTTACTTTCGAATTCGCGATCTTGTTGTCACGTTTTACAAGAAAAGATAAT